AGGGAGAGGCATTTTGATAGCAACCCACGCGTGGACTTTTCTCCTCACCTAGCCCTCTTAGGTCTCAATATTGATTGCAAATCAGCACTGCGTCAATGCCAACGTAACACTACTTCTCACGACTGAGATCTGGAGTCTAACCTTAGCTCTTATTAAGGCTCTGAGCAAACGGCTCGGCTTCTCAGTTCCAGCGTCCACACCTCTGCAACGTGGGCAAGTGTTCCATCCAGAGTGGCAGGAAGGGCCTGACAGGTCGACACCAGAGGACATGCGAGTCGAGGCAAGTGTGTGTGGACAGAACCCTTAGGGCTCATGTCCCACATCACCTTTCTGAGGACCGGGCGGCCCCTGGCCAAACTGTCATGGAGTCAGGAGTCTCCTGCAGCACTCCCGTGTCCGAAGCTGGTCCGAGAGCACTGAGCCCCAAAGGACGTGAGCATTAACGAAAGAGGCAGGAGTCTAACCATTTTGCCCCCGGGCTCAGGTGGTCCCTGAGGGTCTCGGAAACCGAGGAGGAGTGCTGGTCTGCATGCACCTCCTTCCCCAAGGCCATGTCGAGGCTCCCTGTGGGATGGAGCTCAGACTTCACATGTCAGAGACACTGCTGGCCACACAAGCAGGGCATTTGGCAGGAAGGGCGCTAAGGCCCCGGGCGAATACCCCAAGGAGCCCAGCAGACAGGAAGTACTTGTAAAACTCTCAGGACAGCTGGCAGCCAAAGCCGCTGGGGTCAGCAGAGGGAAAATGAGGAAGAGGTGTGTTTCTTGGGCACAGCCTGGGACCAGCGCATCTGATTCATGGGAACAGAGTCAGCAGTGGCTTGTTCCGATGAGATGCTGGGAAGCAGGGTGATGGGCCCCGGGGAGACCTGCAGGCCTCCTTGGTCAGGGCTCATACTTGTGGGTGAAGCAAGTTCTCTGGGTTGGGTCAGCATCACGGAGCACCTGCCACTTGCCCTGAGCGATGTACTACGCTTGCAAGCATATAACAAGTCCAGGCCCTGCCGAAACCGGTTTGGCTCAGTGGATAGAGCGTCGGCCTGCGGACTGAAAGGTCCTGGGTTCGATTCCGGTCAGGGGCATGTACCTTGGTTGCGGGCACATCCCCGGTGGGGGTGTGTGCAAGAGACAGCTGATCGATGTTTCTCTTTCATCGATGTTTCTAACTCTCTATCCCTCTCTCTTCCTCTCTGTAAAAAATCAATAAAATATATTTTTTTTAAAAGTCCAGGCTCTAACCTTCCAGCCTTGAGGAAAAGCAGCTGGGACTACAACCAAAAGGGAGCAGCCACCTCTCAATGTGATGACAAACAGCTATAACACCTCTCTCTCTACCATTTGGCAGTGCGTCTTGTGCACGTGCTTTCCCTTTAATCCTACAAGGATGACAGCGCTATCCGCAGCCTCTGGACCCTGCCTGCTGCCCGGCCCATGCCAGGAGAGGCCCTGTGCTCGCGGTCCCAGGAAGAGGGAACAGCAATGCGTTTCCAGCGCCCACCTCCCTCCATTTAAATCAGTCGATGCAGGTTTACAGTCTACAAGTTCCCTTGGCAAAGTGGTTTCGATGGTTAGAATCTTTGGTAGAAGTGGCAGTTCCCTGGGCCAAGGACAGTGTGAGCTGCCTTCAGATCTGACCATGCTGTGTTCCAGTGGCACCCTTTGGAATGCCAGGCTGGACTGATGGCCAAGGGATGAAGAAATTCAGGAATAAAGGGCCGCTCTGTCTGGGCACCTCTTGGAGAGGGCACATGAAGCGTTCCAAACAGTCAGGCCGCTACCCACGGCTCTGGGTGGGGGGCGGGGGCAGGTTGGCCTTCCTTCTAGGAAACCAACTCCTTCATTAGCTCATTCCCCTGGGCTCCTCGGTGGAGCTGGTGCCGAGCATCTTTCTGATGCTGGGGCCTCAGCCTCCCTCAGACCCACACGTAGTTAAAGCACCCCTCTATTTCCTTCTCTGCTCCAGCAACAGTCCAGTGCATTGTCAGCCCTGTGACCCCAAACTGCTCAAAAGGGTTACTGTGGATACTCTTAGGATAATTCACACTTACTTTCTGTTCATAGAGGGAAAATACAGTCAAGAGGGAAAACATAGTCAAGAGCTGGGATTGTCTGAGGGCCAAGTTTTGCACGATCTGTGAAAGGAGCCTGCCAGAGCGCCTCTGCGGAAACAGAGGGCGCCTGTGCGCAGCCGGGCCAGGGGTGGGGGGGGCCCTCTCCATGGCAAGTGCAGGGACGGAGGGCTCTGCGAGCTAGGCCCAGCACCCAGAAGAAGAATGCACCCAAGGTCCTCACAACAGGCACTGGATGGTGCCCAGCAAGGCAGCCTGGGATCCACCACCCTGGCCCCAAGCATGGCCAGGTCTCTGAGAGGCCCTGGGCGGCCGCATTTAGAGGCGAGGGCGCCCCAGCAGGTTCAGGCATCAGCCCGAAGCTCTTCTGAAACTCACTGTGTGCCTATGGTTTCCTACGACTGCACTCAGTCCTCACTCAGGGAGGGGACTGGGGCTGGAGGATGAACAAAGCGCGCAGGGACCAGCTGACTGCAGGGACCCAAACGTGGCTCCTTCCCCAAGTCTGTCCTGTCCTCCAGCTCCCGCCCCCCATTTCACAGACACAGATTAAAGGGGAACGGCGGCTGTTGTTTGGACAGATGCAGATTCCAGTGAAAGACACACTATGCTTCCTAAGGCGCTGGTGTCCCGAAGTTTCAGAAAGATTCTATTTAAAAAAAATGGCTGCAAATATCCCCTCTGCCACCACAAGGCGCATCCACTTCCCTATTCCGGGGATCGGCTGGCCTTGTGGCTGAACCCAGAGAAGGCGGTGGAAGTGGCGGAGGGCCAACTCTGAGCCAGGCCTTAAGATCCCTTCCACGCTTCCGTTTGTTCCTGGGAAGCCTGCCAGCTGCCTGAACACGCCCGGGCTGGCCTGACGGAGGCGGGCGGGTGGTGTGGATGGCCGTCAGCCCAGCTGTCCCAGCTGAGGCTCCAGGGATGCCAGCAAGTCCAGCCAAGTCATCCCGGGCAGGTCAGCACCGTCGCCCACCAACCTATGTCCTAAGCTATGGGAAATGGTCACTGCTGTCTGAAGTCACTGAGTTTTGGGGGAGTTTGTTACACAGCAAAAGCTGACACGGCCCTCCGACTCCAACTCTCTCATGGCCTGGCAGAGCCTGCTCTCCTGGGCTTTGCTTCCTTTGTGAGGACTATTCCCGTTTAGCCACAGGACACGTATCAGGCTGGCCAAGGGGAGGTCTGAACAAAAAGGCCAGAACGTCCCTGCAGGCGATGCCTGAGTGATATGGCTGTAAGTGTGGCCACCACCATCCCACCCCCCACACACACCTGCACTCCCTCCCATTCACACAGTCCTCCAGCACAGAGACCCATCCCCGTGTACTCTACCCCATCCATGCAGGGATCTGCAGAAGGCAAAGTCAGCGCTGAGCAGCGGCACACACATCGGAGGGCACAGGCTACAAACGGAAGATGACATCCACCAGGTGCCGAGCAAAGAGCGGAGGGAGCACTCACCGAGGGCACGGGCAAGGTGCCATGCCGGCTGAGAAAGGAGTTAGAGACGGACACACTGATGCCCTGAGTGGCACTGCTGTCCTCGGGGGTGAAGGCCACTTTAGTTTGCTGGACACAGTAGGAGACAGAGGAGAAGGAAGAAGCAGCATAAGAGGCCTGCTGGATAGAGGGACGAGAGAAGATGGGAAGGAGGGAGAGAAGCAGAGAACAGTCAGGCATATATGCACAAAGGCCACGGAGGCTGCCACCCAACTGCGCTCGGGCATTCTGGAGAGGGATGGCTTCTTGGCTCAGTTTGGAGATCAGAGACAGCTTCCAAGGCTTCTGGCCCCCCTTTCACTTCCTTATGCTAGATTTAAAGCTGGCTTTCACACAACTGTGTCCACTGGGAGTGGTGGCGAGGGGGCAGAGAGGCCTAGTGGTTTGAGTCCCACTTTGCCACTTACTCAGGGCCCCAGCGCTCTTTGGTGGTGTAGACCGTGGTCTTATTCACACTTCAGCGGAGTGCAGATCAAGAGCTAGGCTGCCTGGGTTTGAATCTGGGTCCTGCCACTTAAGTCAGACTGAGGGCATTACCTAACGCTCTCTGGCCTCAGACTTTCCCTCTGGAAAGACAGGGATGACCCTGCAGGGCTGTGTCCATGTAAAGCACTTAGAACCGTGCCTTCCACAGCGTACGGTGCCAACAGGCCTGGGTACTTACTACTCCCATCTTTGTTGGTAAAGCGGGTAACACTTCCTGAGTCTGCATTTGGGAGGGTGTGCCGAGCAGCCTGCAGAGGGCGCCACACAGCATGCCTGGGAGCTGTCCCCAACTCTTCTGGACAGCATGGCTGGGCAGGATGCTTGGGTTCTAGACCTGACCAGAGCCCGCTTGGCTAGTAAACTGGCAGCTAAAAGAAGGTCAGAGGCACACCCATATGCTCAGAACCTGGCCCAGAGCCTGCCCGCACCGCCTGCCCGTGCAGAGCTGAATCCGTGGCTGCATGCAGCCTTACCCAGGCGCCTTTAGAGGAGGAAGGTGCCAGGCCCGGCAGCGTGGCTCTGTTTACAGCCATCCTGCTCCAATGGGGAGAGAGAGTGGCTGTCTATTAGGCCCATTATGTAAATCAGGCCGCAGATGGCCCTACACAGACCGTGCCCTGTGCTCAGAATCCCTCTCTCCTGGGAGTCTATATTGGAGCCACAGAAGAGAGAAAAAAATGCAAGAGAGTCAGCAGAGAGAGCAAACACTCTGAGTAAAGCCAGTCCCAGCTGCACGGCTACTCGGGTGGGGAGCAGCAGAGCAGGAGACAGGCTGCCCGGGAACTGCCGAGGGGAAGTGAGCCCCACGTGGGAGATGGCGGGTTCCACACCGGCCCAGGCCCCTGACCCGAGGAGGAGGAGGAGGGAGAGGAGGAGGAGCTTCTGGTTCCTGGAGGCCTGTGGCCCTTGGCGGCAGGGAGGGCACCTGGGAGGGGCCGCTTACCAGCTGCCGCTGCTTGGGCGGGAGGGCGGGGGGCGGCGCCAGGTCCTGCGGGTCGGCGCTGCTGAAGGAGTCGTTGAAGCCGTACACCTCCATGAGCAGCTTGTTCTTCTGCTGGTAGACGTGCTCGTTCTGCGGCGTCTGGTAGAACACGGACGGCTGCGGCTCCGAGTAGTCCTCCAGCAGCTGCATGTAGGCCAGCACTGCGGACAGAGATGGCGCTCTGGCTCTGGCACTGGGGGGCGAGCTGCAGGGGGCCCCCTCTCCAGCAGCAGGCAGAGACCGCTCTGTGTGGCCTGGGGGCACACGCGTGCAAATGCAGCGAATGGACTCAAAGAGGGAGCCCCAGCTGTGGGCTCTGGGCACAAAGACACGTCAGTGCAGGCTCACTGAGTCACCACGGGGTGTTCTGGTGGAGAAGGTGCCAGTGGACAGGCCAGGTGGGGGGCAGGGATATGCAGGACTCTACTTTCTGCTCAGCGCCGCCGTGAGCATCGAACTCTCTGAAAAACAGCCTGTCTTCACCAAGCACCTTGGGGCACTGGCCCCCCTGGGGCAGAGCCCTCGGGATTTCCAGGCACTCGGGGGGCACTGGCTGGGGGAGCTCCCGGGGCAGCACAGCTGTGCACCCTCAGCCCAGCTCCGCTGTCTTCTTTCTGTCCCGGGAACACCCGCAGGGAGTCTGCACCTCTGATCCCTGCGCTTCCCCGCCCTCCTCTGCGCCCGGCTACCTGCCGCTTTCCCAGCCCGCTCACACAGCCGCCCCCTGCCCCTCACTCCTTTCCTTCTCAGCTCTCCTCACAGGGTCAGGGCACCCGGGGGCTTCAGCATTCACCAGATTTTACTGAACACCTACTACTGTCAGGCACTGAGAGGCTGGCAAAACAAATCATCGGCCACGGGCTCACCCCTCCAGAGACAGCACACAGACCGTGGAGAACTGGCAGTGGGTGGCAAGGGGCTGCCTGTCTAGAATATGGATGAGCTCCGTGAGATGGCGAGGAGCCCGCCACACAGAGGGCACAGGCCAGGCAAGGGCCGGAGGGCACGGGGACCAGGAGGGCAGCGCACAGCTGTCCAGGAGACAGGGAAGGAGATGAGCCCGCTACCAGGAGGGGGCGGGGCTGTGTGAATGGGCAGGACCCACGGAGGGTCCCGGGGGCTGCCGCTGCTGTCTTGTGCAGACCACCAGGGCTGCTGAGGTTCTTCAGGGGAAGGTCCCCGTGGGGGTGAGGTCTGGTTCATGGCGCATTTCCAAAGCAGATGCCACAGGATTGCTGCCTCCCACTCCAGCCAGAACGGCCATATCACAGTGGCTGACACATAGTAGGTGCCTGCGGCATTTGTAGATGAAGGAATGAATGGAACACGTGTCCCTCAGCACTGCCAGATTGAGCCGCTGGGGTGGGACTTGTAATGTGCCCACTGGATGTGTAAGAAACACAGCAACGCCACCCTACTCTCCCCTTCCAGCTGAGAGGCTAGAGAGAATCCCTGGGGGGAGGAGTGGAGAGAGGGGCTCCGATTCACATGCATGCACCCTCCCCCCAACAATCCTCCGGGAAACCCCAGCCCTTGCCACCACCGCCGTCCGACGCCATGCTGCTACCCCTTGGTGGAGCAGCCTGCACACAGGGGCAGGCTCTCTCGCTGGCACAGGTGACAGCACCCGCAGAGACCCCCCCTCCCCAAGCAGACAACAGCAGGTCGCACCAAGCAGGAGGAGAGATGTCAGAGAACAAAGAGCTCAGCTGTCACGTCTCAGTGACCTCATCCTCGGAGGCACCTTCTCTGGAGGCAGGGGCGGAGCTCTGGGTCTCCTCAGGGGCACCGTGTACATGTGCTCCTGACTCTCGGTGTTCGTGATCTGAGCCCCACCTGCAGAGCCCGGCTGTTCTGAAGACTCCAGAGCATTCTGGGAGAAGCGGCAGTTTGGAACGGACGTGCGCAGAAGCGGGTGGAGCGGAAGCCCTCTCTCCCACCCCCTTCCACCTCTGTGACCTGATCCTGCAGTTGACGTTCCCACGCAAAGTCTGGGTCAGGAGCCTGGGCTCCTGTGGCACCTTTCCCCTGCCCAGGCGGCTGGGGAGCGCCGGTGTCAGGACATGCTCTGCACACGTGTGTGCCAATGTCTGCAGGGAAGGCAATGTTATGCGCCCCTGTCCCGGGACGCACTGATAAACCCACCTACGGAGCTGGCTGCACACACGCTAAGGGGAGTTAGTGTCAGTGAGATCTGGAAAGAAAAGGAACCGATGTCCTTGTGTGGCAGGCGAAGGGGTGGCAAAGAGTCACCATCCTGAGTGGGTGCCTCCCCTTGGGTCCCCGCACAAGTGCCACGAGCACCTGCCAGGCGGAGCCGAGATTCAGAGACCAGGGGAAAGTGGCAAGGACAATTTTTAGAGCTTAATTTTGTATTTTCAAACAACAACAAAGTTGGGAGCTTAACTGGAGCCCCAAACCAGTCAGCAAACCAAAGGACCCAGGCCCTGAGCTGAAGAAAGCAGCACAAAGGCAGCGAGATGGCCTTGTTCTCCTCTGCATCCTCTGGGGTCAAGGCAGATCGGAACTGCTCTCTAGGAGTGTCTTCCTGGCACCCTCCACTGGGGGAGAGGTTCAAAGTCACCTTCCTTATCTAAAAGGACCAATAAGGACGCCTGAGCTCCAACAAGCCCCATGTGGCCCTTGGCTGTCAGACGCGGGCAGGCACAGGCGCCTCCTCCCCCGAAAGACTGGCTGCCGCGGGTGCCCAACCGACTCCCCCGGGGTCTGCGAAGGTGGTCTCGCCCACCTGCGCCCCAAGAGGACTGACCACCACCTGCCACAAGGGAAACCTGGATGAGACGCGCAGTGATGCCTACCACCTGCCAGTTCCTTTCAAAGGCAGCCTGGCATTAGGACTCCCGCTTCCCTGAGCAGGCTGGCACTCCGGCGGCGCCCGGGACCATGGGCAGACAGGAAGCTTGTCTGGCACAAGGGCCCTGTGGGGCTGCCCTGACCAAGAGGGGCTGGCCCCCTGGGACATCACAGCACCTGAAAGCCGAGGCTGCTGGCGCGGGACTGCGCGTGGCTGAGCTCCGCCCGCAGCACAAACCTAAGGACGCTTACTTCCTCCTCCTTCACCATGTGACGAGGTGCAGCTGGAGCTGCAGAGGCCCCTCGGGAAGTGAAGGACCAAGCCTTCGAGAGCCACAAGGTTGGGGTCCTTTCAACCTGCTGCATAGGGTCTCCACCTGGACGGGGTCTCGGGGGAGACCCCTGCCGGTCAGAGTGGGAGCAGGCCTGCTCTGCAGCCCAGATCCTGGGCAAGGTCAGGTCCTTTGAGCTCTGGGTTCTTCATCTACAAAACGGAAGTTCGTGCCACCCCGCCGGCCAGGTCGCAGCAAGAAGTGTTATGCAGGCGCGTGGAGCTTTAGCCCAGGCCCTGCAAGCTCTCGGCAGGTTTGAAAGGTTTGCAGGCACAAGCGCTAGAGACATTGATGGATAAAATGAAGCCTAAGTTAATGGCAAACATTCTGGACAACTGCTTGTTCTGCGCAAACAGGGGCTACCTCTCCCTTCCCTTCCCTTCTCGCCACCCCCTAGGACGGCCGCCTGCACCTGTCCTGAGGCTGGCAGGGCGGTCCTGGCTCCTGGGCCAGGCAGCACCACTCATGCAGTTTGCACAGATGCAATCCTGGCCTGAGTTCTGGGTTCAAAGGATTCCAGAAAAGGAAAGGAAAGGCTGTGAGTCCCAATCGGCATGCTGCTCAGGACAAAGGAAGGTGGGGGAGGGGAGGGCCAACAGTTCTGAAACTCTGCGGAGGGAGGAGGGAGGTGAAGGAGGTCATGTTCCTGGTATTGCCATTTGCAGCTTCCTCCCAAGTGCCCTGGTTTCTAATGGGCCCACGTCCACGACAGATGGGAGTGACATCACTGTGCTTAGAGAGCCAGCTCTCCCCCCCAGCCAGGGGGGAGGGGGCACACCACTCGGCTATTACACGAGCTGGTGACAGCCAGTGAGGAGCCGGGGAACGCGTGACGTCCTCAGAGGCCCCTCCTTCCCATGGCCCCAGGTCAGACCTGCTGGGTTAACCTGGCCAGATGTCCTCTTGTGTGAGAACCTGGGAACCTGGAATGCAGAAGCTGTCTGCAGGATGTGGCACCTGAGGCCAGGGAGCCCTGTGGGGCTGACGTGGCCACACGCACATCTCAATGGTGACAGCAGGCTGCCAGGAAAAACAGCAGAGCTGTGCCGGCGAAGTGGGAAGGGATCAGGAAGCAGACGGGCAGCGTGGAGCAGTGGGGAGCTGGCAGAAAAGACAATGTGCAGTGGAACGCTACTTAGGAGTACGATGGCAAACACACAGTTGAAATGTTCAAAATATGACCAAAACTTTAGCTCCACCCCTGGGCCCCAATGACATCATTTATAATAAAGTGTAATATGCTAATTAGACCAGATGACCTTCCGGACGAAGCGGGTGGGGGTGGGGGTGGGGGTGGGGGGGAGGCAGAGGCAGCCGCTGCGGGGCCGAGCTCCTTGCATGAATTTTGTGCGCCGAGCCTCTAGTATAACAAATGGTCATTCAGGGACCCTGAGAGTGCCTCTGGGGCTTCAGAAACTCTCCTGGAATTCACAAGCCTCCGGCTTTACCACCATCTTGCTGCCATGGAGCCCTGAATGCCACAACACTCGTTTCTCTTTCTCACCATGTATTCAGGCCAGGAGGTCCACTGACTTCCGTCTACCAGAGGCCAAATTCCTGGAGGCCAGGCCTGAGCTTTTACAGCAGCCGTAACGAGGTCAGCTTCCCAGGCTTGACAATCAATCACCAGCACTGGACTGACATGACCAGGAGTGCCCACGTACCTGTGTTCTCCCTCTCATGAACTTAGGAGCCCAGGCGTGGTTCTGGTCTGATTACATAGAACATACCACCTATTCAGGTTACAAACGTGCCTCCCGGCAGCCCAGCAAGGCTTACTGTGTTTGTTCTTCTTCTCCGGCAGGGGCGGCGGCTTCTCTGGGTCACCCGCGGACTCAGGCGCAGTGAAGTCACTCACAAATTCCACGGAGGCCGAGGACCCTCCTTGCTGGAAGGGGAGAATAGCAGCAAAGGGCGTGAAGGAGGCGGGCTGCACCAGGGCGGGGTTCTGCAGGTCGTCCTCGGAGATGTTGTCGTATTGGGAGGGGTGCCGCTCGTAGGACACGCGGGAGCCAGAGCTGTCCGAGGTCTGGGAGGCCGCGCTCCTGCGCTTCTTCTCGGGGAGGGCCGGCGGCATGTCCGTCTGTGGCCCATCAGGCTGGGAGCAGCTGCTGAGAGGCAACTGGAAAGGATGGACGAGAAACGGGGACCCAGACTCTCCCAAGGACTCCGGCAACGGGCTAAGGTTACAGGCCACTTGCTGAGGTATCTGGTCTGCATTGGAGAGGTCTTGCTGAAGGAACTCGTAGTCAGGATCATAGTGATCTGCATTCACAACAGGAGAGACACGCCTGTCAGCCACCAGACCCCACCCCTGCTGTCGCCCAATCCTGCTCAGTACAGCGGGACAAAAAAACGTCTCCCATCTCATCTAGACAGACCCGTGCTTTTTAAAAAAATATTTTTTAAATTGATTTTCCACAGAGAGAAAGGGAGAGGGAGAGTCAGAAACATTGATGAGAGAGAAACATCAATAAGCCGTCTCCTGCACACCCCCTACTGGGGACGTGCCCGCAACCAATGTACACGCCCTTGGCCAGAATCGAACCTGGGATCCTTCAGTCCACAGGCTGACGCTCTATCCACTGAGCCAAACTGGTTAGAGCCCATGCTTTCTTTCTTTCCTTCTTTTATTTATTTTTAAAAATATATATATTTTATTGATTTTTTACAGAGAGGAAGAGAGGGATAGAGAATTAGAAACATTGATGAGAGAGAATCATCAATCAGCTGCCTCTTGCACCACCCCTACTGGGGATGTGCCCGCAACCAAGGTACATGCCCTTGACCGGAATCGAACCCAGGACCTTTCAGTCCGCAGGCCGACGCTCTATCCACAGAGCCAAACCAGTCTCGGCCTGTGCTTTCTTTTATATTCTCCATTCTTCTCACTGCTTGTAACAACAAAAACAGATGGGAATATGACTATTGTCCTTTATTTTTTCCTGTATTTTTTGAATTTGAGTTAAAAAGAAAATGCTCTGTTGGTTGAGCAACTGTCCCATGAACTGAAAGGTCACCAGTTCGATTCCTGGTCAGGGCACATACCTAGGTTTTAGGTTTGATCCCTGGTTGGGGTGCATAGGAGAGGCAACTTGATTGATGTTTCTCTCTCTCTCACCCTAAAATTTAAAAAAAAATACCCTTGGGTGAAGATTTAAAAATGAAAAGAAAATGCATGGTCACTACAGAAAATGTGGCTAATGTAAAAACCACCCCAAGTCCCGCCATCTACCTGTAATCTGCTTACAATTTGATGTATTTCCTTAGAGGTCCCCTGCCCCCAAATTCTTTTTCTCTCTCTGAACTATGTAAGTGGTCTAGGATTTTGTCTGCTGATCAATAGATCACAATTGACTTCTAACAGTTATATATCATGACACCAAATCGCTTTATCATCATTTGCCCAATTTCCTAACCCTTTTTATGAAAAAGTCAGATATTTCCAGCAGTCACTGGTCCTAACACTGCCGAGCTCTCCGTCTCTGGACGGCAACCTTGCTGCCACTCTGATTAAGTTCTGAAGGTGAACTCTCCAGAGTGAGATCTCATGGACATGAGCGGCCGAAGCTCGCAGCCTCACACCGATGGCCTCTGAGACTCTCCCCGGCCCGCGCTGCAGGCGGGCAGCACCAACGAGGGCGCGGTGCTCAGCTGCCTCCCCCTGTCAGAAGCTCCAGGGTCTCCCTTCACTTGCAGCTCGGAGCACAGATGGCTCTTAACTTTGGCAAAGGGAGTCAAACTGCACAGCGACAGATTAGCTATAGTAACAGCGACACGGGAGCCATCTCCCGGGGTTTGTATCTTTCACATTGTTACTTCATCTCAACTTTCAACCTCCTCCCGAGACAGACTGTGGTGCCCTCGTGTGCAGGTGAGGAAACTGAGGCCCAGGCTTTGGATGACGGGCATCAGCACATGACCCCGAAGAAGCTACCGGATGATGAGACGGGGGTGACGACGCCTGCAGCTCACCTAGTGTTTCACAGCTTGTGTTCCGGGAGCACTGCCCGCTGTCCCTGTCCAGGGAGGACAGCTGCTCGTCAGACCTGCTGAGCTTGCCGATGCTGCTGCAGGGGGACAGGCGGGGCGACTCTCCCCCATAGGAGTGGCTGCCTCCTGACAGGCGCCTCTGGGCATAACAGTCCCCGTCAAAATCCTCGTGTGCAAGAATAAAACAAGAGTCACTTCTGAGAAAGGGCGGCAGGGAGGGGGGAGGGAACGGGAATGTTTACTTGGAGAAGAATCTACCGCCACAGGGAAAACCAACCGGTGGGAAAGGCCAGCTCTGAGGTGAGCAGCGCACCTGTGACTGCCAGCAAGCAGCCTCCAGGAATGCGGAGTGTGTGGGGGAGGGCCTGGGGCCAGTCTCCCCACCCCCAGCCCCCACCCTCATCCTGCAGAGAAACTTCCAGCGTCTGGGAGGGCCTGGTGACTAAGGCAGGGGGAGGAGACAATCCCAGCCCAGAGCCACTGGCCTTCGCTGGGCTGCATTACCTGCCTATTGATCCCAACAGGCAAGCTGGAGCCACTGGTGGCTCGACTCATGGGGGCCACGACGGCCACGCGGGTTGGGGATGGCGCCGACTGCCTTTTCTTCGGTGGCAATGCTGGCGGAGGACTGGAGCAGATCAAAAATTCCCGTCAGACCAACCGCCCAAACAAAACTCTTTAAACAGATATAAGGCAGAGCATTCTTCATTATTAAGACACTGCACACCTACTTTTCACACTTTCAACTCCCCGCCCCGCTCCCCTTCTGCCAAAACAAACCTATCAGACCTGCCAAAAAGCTGCAGCCAGAAAAGCCCTTTCTGTTCCTTTTGTGAGAAATTGGACCAGTTTTCTTAACTTGGCTCAGGCTAAAAGGCGAGCCGTGAGGGGCTCCAGGAGAGTGGGTGAGGGCGGGCGCTGGGGCTGGGCCCGGCTTCCAGAAGGCCCGTCTGAGGAAGGTCCAACTTCCAAGGCTTCTAAAAGCAAGGAACTAACTTCTTTTCACCTCATTCTACCTTCCATTCACCAAATTAAGTCATCAACAGAGGGGAGTGCTAGGAAAATAGAAAAATACCTGTTATCAACCACCCGAATGCCAGGTAAAGGGGGTTTGGGGGGCGCGACCTCTTCATCAGTAGCATCTGGGAGCAGCTCGGTGGACTGTGACAGGCCGGTCGTCTTGTTCAGAATCTCCATCTCCCTGTCTGTCAGGGGGAGCTCAGACTGGCTGAGAATGGCAGAGAACTCGGGTTACAAAGATTACAGAGACACGGGTCCAAAGAGGGTCAGGAAGTGACCAGGCCGCCAGATGGCTTGGAGGTGGGCTTGCAAGGGTGGTTTGATCACCAACAAACAACAGAAGCCTGACCAGGTCCCCCTGACTGCATCTTAGATTTCTTGTCTGTTAAAGGAATCCTGCAACGAGATGATCTAAAGGCTTTTAAAAACGCTCCACAGTTGTTCTATGTCCTTACTAGGGGCTTGTAGTAGATAAAGCCAAATGCTAAATCCAACCTTCTTCCCAAAGTTTTCCAATCAGGAAATGACGGTCAAGAAACGCAAAGTGTGGAAATGGGGGGATGAGGACAAATATGTGATACCTTAATCAATAAAGAAATTTAAAAAAAAAAAAAGAAAAAGAAAAAGAAAGAAATGCAAACTGTGGGTCACTGGGCCGCTCACATACTTTCCTTAGAAAGAGTCCCGTTGACCGTTAACCTTGAGATCAGGAAATACTTCCAGGCATGTGTGAACTGTACACACTTTAAATAATACAGGCACTTACTGGAACTCACTGGAAAAGGAATGTGGGCCTCAAACAACCTGCCCTACGTGGATGGCCCCAGCTGGCTCCCGTTCTGAGTGCAGAGCCAACGTGAGTACGGGCTGGAGGGCTAGTCAGCACTTACCCCTCGGGCTTGCAGGCTGGGGAGCTGGGTTTCACTGGGCTTGTTGGAGACGGATGCCCCTGCTTCTCGATGGTCAGTCTGACCAGCTCCTACACACAGAGGAGAAAGCAGTGAGGCGTGAGGACGGGTCCCCACTGCTGAGTCTGCACAGACTGCACAACCAGCCTCTACTCCCAAGGCTCACATCTTTATGCCTACAGGTTCCCCGCACACCATCATGCAAGCGTCCTCTGACTTAGGTAATCTGAATGACTTCCCAAAATGTCCCCTCCCCTCCAAAAATAGCTTCGAGCATGTCGAGAAGTTTCAAAGGCATCAAGGTACTTCCTCTTGGAAGGGGGAAATGACAACCCCCACTGTCTCACAATGACTGGGTTCATGCACAGTGTAATTCCCCTGGCGGGACAGATTCCAGTCCGTGCGTGGAAGCACCACTCCTCAGTTCTCTAAAGCTGTTCTGTCCTGTGCAGGGCGCTGCTACCCATGCCACACCTCTGGCTTCGGGGGAAGTGGTTTTGCAAAGTGAGCTGGGTATGGGTGTGGCAGCAGCTGGTACACTGAGGTGACTGGCTGGGATCTTTGTCAATGGACAGCTGGTGAAGGGCATACCACCTAGCAAAGAAATAACTTTAAAAGATACTTTTTAAGACAGAAAAGAAGGAGAAGCAGGAGAGGGGCAGGGGGAGGAAAAGATGGCATCAGGTTCTACTTGTTTTTCCATTGGAATGCACTTCCCCAGCGAGCTCTGACGATCGCCTATACCCCGATAACCACTGGGACGGTACAGATCATTCCACCCACCGCTCCAGTCACTCTGCCTGACTCCACTTGTAACTTTTACTTCTCAGGTCCCTTTTGCCTAGAAGTTGATGTAAATGGAATCACACAGTAAGTACTTTTTTGTGTCCAATTTCTCTTTCTGAACAGCTTTATGGGTACCTAACTCACAAGTGAAAAAATTCAGCCTTTTAGAATGGACAGCTCAGTGGTTTTTAGCTTGTTCGTGGAGTTGTGCAACTGTCAACACAATCCATTTTAGGACTCTTCATCACCTCCGAGGGAGACTGTGCCCAGGACTGTCATTTCCGCAGCCCTCCCAAGCCCCGCACCCAGTCCCCTCTGCCCTGCCCTGTCTTCTGCTCAGTATGCAATACATTTCTGTGGCCACAATGAGTCTGTTCCTTCTTATTTCGGAATTGTATTCCAGGGGTCAGACAACCCCACACTTTCTGGGGGAGGGACAGCCCAGCATGAACGTCTGGGTTAGAAGGCACAGCCAGAGGAGGCAGCAATGGGCTCTGTGGGTAATACAGCAACACGTCCCTAACTCACTTGCTACGTCTCTCCAAACTCAAAAATGCCACTCACAGGAATTGCAACCCACGTGATAAGGCAGGGAGGTAACATCCTTCCTAGAGCCAGAAGTTTTTCCAGAACCAAACTAGAACAAAGAAGTATCGAAGAAGTTCACAAATGTCTACAGCCATGGTCAGTCATCATTAGAGTCTCCAGCTTCCATGGCTCTAAAACAGGAACTCCCGAGCCTGGCAATGCTTCGGACAGCCTGTCAGTGTGTACCAAGCACCCTGAATGGCTGCATTATTTTTATAGTAATTTAGTAATTTTTATAGTAATTTTCCGATAGTAATATAGGAAAATGTCATGGATGTGTGTGAAAATTAAAGCGGAAACAATGGTCATCACCGCATCATATGTAACAGATGCAATTAGACTACTCCATCTTCCATAATTAAATATTCAATAGTAGGCACTGACTACATAAGCAAGGATAGAACTGAACGACGGACCATTAGATTGCCTTTAAAAACCATCTCACCACAAGAGCGTGTGACACATGGAGAGACAGGAATACACTGTTTTTGTTTCTCCGCTTGTTCTAACTTTTCTGCAGTGAGCCTGTGTCACAGGCATTCCTGCCGGAATATTAACTGAAAACGTCAGTGCACACAGGCAGACCCATAGCACCAGACCCGTGTCCCCCGCTCTGTCAAGTGATGCTTGTTCTCAGAGACACACAGGACCTGAAATCTCTGAGAACCAGTACTGGACGAAGAAAGAATTACTATTTTCCTGTTATCACAACTTGAAGCTAAATGAAATCGCACAAATGCATAAGAAAGAGCCCCTTGGCTGGGATTACTTACAACGGAGAAGCGAGACTCCGTCATTAGGAGAGCAGGCAAGTGGAGGGAAGGCTGCGGCCACTGCCTGGGAGGAAGGGAAAGCAGCTTGTCCCCAGGCCACACCGAAGAGCAGTGTGGCAACAGGGGGAGCCAGAGGCCAGTCCACAATACGTGGACGCCCCACATTCATGCTTTATGAGCAGGGCAAGGGGAACAGAGAGAAGCCTGCGTACTTGTAGCTGCTGACGTAGGAAAAATTCCACACATTCTTCACTGTATCATGAGCAATTATAATTAGAATGTCATCTTTCTGGAGAAGCAGCTGGATGAACTCAACTAACGAACGCTGGAAAAAGCATCACGGAGTGACAGGCAGACATGTGCGAGCACACACCGCGTTCCAGACGACATGGCTGTGGAGGAGGCAGTGGCTCTGCGTTCCTCCCGTCGTTGGCCTGGGCAGGAGTGGAGTGAGGGGCAGCTTTCTTTAAAATATGTTGTATTGATTTTTTACAGAGAGGAAGGGAGAGGGATAGAGAGCTGGAAACATCAATGAGAGAGAAACATTGATCAGCTGCTTTCTGCACACCTCCCACTGGGGATGTGCCTGCAACCAAGGTACATGCCCTTGACTGGAATCGAACCTGAGACCCTTCAGTCCACAGGCTGATGCTCTGTCCACTGAGCCAAACCGGTCAGGGCCAGAATGATATTTTAACCACCTCAGTTCCTCAGACCAGAGGATGGCTGGACACACTCACTGCTCTGATATCTGGTAAATAGAGGGAAGAATGAGGCACTGATCCTGGCTTTCCTGAGAACTGTGACTCAGAATAACCACTCACTGACAAGGGGAAGTCTCTCTGTCACAGAAAGAGTGACAGAAAGAAGGAGGATGGCACCCCTTGGCACCCCCTAGTGAATTAATGGGCCCAGGCAATCACTACCAACAGCTATGAACATCAAAAGGAACAGGTGCCTCTTAATGCAAGCCCACGGCATCACCTACGAAGCATTCTCCAATACAAAAAAAAAACAACCACCAAACCCGAGTCCGCCTCGGATACACAGGAAACTCAAGGGGCAGAGACACATAGTAAACAATACTGAGCCAATGGAATCAGTGAAGTCCAGAATATAGGGGGCTTTTAGGAACAATAACGCTTGCTAAAAACACTAGTAAGTTGCAAGGAGAAAACTACAGAGGAGAAACTACAAACATCCTATACAATAAAAGGGCAATATGCAAATTGACCCCAAGGCCAGGAACGACCAGTCACTATGATGCACACTGACCAACAGGGGGCAGATGCTCAATGCAGGAGCTGCTCCACTCGGTCACAGCCAGGCTGATGACTGTGAGCTACGGGTGCAGTGCTGGTGGCGGGAGCCTGTCCTGCCTCCTCAGCAGCGCTGAAGTAGTTTGACTACAGATTAGGCCACAGTTGGACATCTCCCAGGGGCTCCCGGGCTTCCAGAGGGATGTCTGACTGCCAGCTTGGGCCTGCTCCTCGGGAAATCGGGCCTAACCCAGCAGGTGGACATCCCCCAGGGGTCACAGACTGTGAAAGGGCACAGGCCAGGCCGAGGGACCCTCACCCTGCTCCCCCATACACAAATTTTCATGCACCGGCCTCTAGTATATTATATGAATGAACTGTGGTATGGATTTCCCTTGGATCCTAAATTGAAAAACTGTTTAAAAGCAACCAACTACACCCTGCAGGCCAAATCCAGCCCTGGCCTTGCTTTTTTGGAAGGCCCTCAAGGTAAGAATGCTTTATTAAAGAAAATTAAAATATAAAGCAAAAAACATTCAATGGAGACTATACGTATACGTTCTTTCAAAAACACTCCTGTCACACAAAGTAAATCTGGTGCACAAGCCCAATTTTGGGTAGTGATGGACGCAGGCATTCCAAAGCGCCCTCTCCGAGGCCCTCAGCATGAGGCTTTAAAATAAATAATAATAATTCTGTGTGAATGGGGGGCCAGGGGACGTCTCAGGTCTGTGGAGGAGCCCCCAGGAGGTCTGTGAGGACAGAGCAGAGCCCAGGCTGAGATCAGAAGGAAAGCTGACATGTGAGTGGCAAAGTGAGAAGAACTGGGTGCCGGTTTTGAAAGGACAATCTGGAGTGTGCGTCTGGCCCGGAGGAGCTTGGCCCCTCGGTCCTCGGCTGGGCGGCTGCAGAGAACAGGAAAGTGAAGGCCTTCCCATTCCTTCCCGGGGGTCACGGGGTCTTAGTGCCCCGGTGGCCACAGGTAGAGCACCGCCTGGGGCAGATCAGATAATGGCAGAGGTTTATCTTCTAACCTGAGATTTAAGAAATTACCGGCAAAGAGCCACAAACCCTTGTGAAGTTGGTAAATGGGAGCTGTTCCAGAAACGAACATTTCTACAGTTACGAGTGCTTACCTGCCAGTTACTGGGCACCTCGCACTTAAAAGGTACCTTACGTACACTATCTCACCTAAACGCTCACCAGCTCTTCGGGGTATTTAAAAACCTATTTGAAACTCAGAGAGGTAACTTGCCCAAAGTTAAAAGGCCAACGAGTAACATTGATGGGGCGGTTAAATAATAAATGATACTCCCCATTCAGGGACAAAACAAAGTAATCCTGTTTGTTAAACACTTCAATCCTTTTTTAAAAATTCCATTTAACAACTGAGGAGTTACATGAGAGATGGTGAGTCAGGTTAGAGGAACGTGCCAGCATCTCTCCTCTCTGTGGGATGACCACATGCCCATGAATGTGCTGTGCCCCTCTCAGCCACAGCGCCTGTCACATTCACTAGGACATGGGCTTATAAGGTGTCCTAAGCCTGAAGGGGACCTCGAGAGAGGCTGGCAGCCAGCTGACTTGGAGGTGGAGCATGTGAGTCCCTCAGCTGACCATGCTTCTCCCTCCTGTGGCGGCAGCTGAGGGCGATGGGGAGCGCACAGGGTCTGGGGTCCAGCAGGCCTTGGGTGTGAATCTCAACCTCGCCAATGACGACTGGTCTGTCTGAGTCTCATTGTCCACACCCTTAAAGGGGTGATCGTGGCTGCTTTGGAGAGCTGCTACAAGCACTGATGGGTAGTAAGTGTTAGCTCTGGCACAATTAGACCTCAGCCACAAATGCCAACACCACAGAGTCTTGATGGTCCTTGCCATCTTTACTGACTCTAACTACAAAAAGCTTCCCGCAGCACAGGCCAATTCCTGCTCCTGCCAGGCTTTCGGTCTGCCCGCCTCTCCTGGGGGGAGTGTCTGAGCATCTTGCGAAAGGAAGCTCACCTCTCCACCCAGGTCACACACAGGCCACTTCTTTCCAGCACAGCCCTGGTTATGATGACAGGACAACAGTTACTGTTTGCTGTCCTTCCCCCTGCGGACTGTAAGCTCTGTCAGGTCCGGGACTGTGAGTTTTGCTTGTCGCTATATTCCCAGCTCTATCACACTACCGGGCACACAGGGAGTTCTTAATAAATGTTTCTTGAATAAATGAAACAAAACTGAATTTATATAACACCTCACCTATAATATATCTGTTCTGGTGCAAATATTTTTTTAATATATATTTTATTGATTTTTTTTTTTTACAGAGAGGAAGGGAGAGGTATAGAGAGCCAGAAATATCCATGAGAGAGAAACATTGATCAGCTGCCTCCTGCACACCCTCCACTGGGGATGTGCCCGCAACCAAGGTACATGCCCTTGACCAAAATTGAACCTGGGACCCTTTGGTCCACAAGCTGATGCCCTATCCACTGAGCCAAACCGGTTAGTGCCGTGGTTCCCAGCCACCACAGCTCACACTGGAGCAGTGGGTGATGCTAATCCATGCCTTAACCTTCCTTCTGCAACGTTTACCCCTGACTCTACTCTCCAGAGCTTCTGGGGAACGTTAACCAAGAGCAGCTCTCAGGAATCTGATGGCATGGTTGAGTGGGGAGAAATTAATTTTGACCTAGGGTAAGTACCTCAGCTATAATTTTGGATGGAAAGGTCTAGAAAGGAAGAGGACACACTTTTTTTTTTCAAGCCAAAAGTTCTGTTTAGGCATCTATCTCGCACCATATAATTAATAGTCAACAGCAGTTAAGGTTTGAGTGCTTAATATGTGACAATAATGCCCAAGAGCTTTGCTTGCAGTAACTAAAGTAAACCCTCTTACCACACTGTGACCCATGGCATATCAGCAGACCTAGTTTACAGGTGAGTTAACCCAGTACAGAGCACTCGCGTCAACTGCTCACATTCACACACTAGTTAGTGGGGAACCTGGGCTCCAAACCTAGCCAGACCCCAGCTACTCCCCTTCCCACTGCATTCGACAGTCTCACAGAATAGCAGGCCTCCACCCACTGCTCACAGCCAGGTCTCACCTCCAGGCCCTCCCCCTACATGCTGCCTTGCTCCTTATCCGAGGATGCATTTTTCCAACAATTCCATTCCCCGTGGCCTCTGCTCCCACCTTAACCAGAATCCAGAGTGTCCTAGGATGCTGTTTCTGACCTCCCTGGCTCTCAGTTTGAAAAAGCATGTTAATAAATGACCTCAGTAGGTTCTCAGACCACATCATGGATTTCAAACACACAGTTTCATTTCCTATGTATCTCAATCCTGCTTTTCTACACGGGAACCCAGGAGTGTTTAGGACATGAAAGGGAAGCGGCTGACATGCTGGGAGTCCCGCTAAATTCAACGCAAACCCATTTGCACTGCATTCTGTCTGGCTGGGAGGCATACACAGCTAGAGCTTTCACATAAAGCCTGGCTGAAGACTTAATCCAACGGTCGGTGAAGGCTGCTTGCTCTAGCAGCTTTTCCCACCATGGAGATGAGTAATCTAGAGGAGGATGAGCCACTGGAACATCACACGCTACCGGACACAGCACTCCGACACCAGGGACGCCGGGAGACATTCCTCTGATACACGAGGTTTAGGGACAAGTGCTTCTGTGATGGACACCCAACAAGGAGGCTGATCCAGGTCCCTGACCAGGACCGCCTGGCACCGGCCATACCTTCACTCCGTCCAGCACAGCCTTGATGACCCCCTTCACCGTTGTCACCATCTCTTTATCTTCGGAGTTCACACCTTCTAGCATCACTTGGTCTGACCAGCGAATGAGGTTGGCGAGACTTTGGTACACTCGACTATAGCAGGACGAGAGGGCCGAGCTAGAAGGCAGAGAAGATATTTTTAAAAAGAGGAAGAATCTAAAGCCTGAGATCTCTATAAGAAAGCCATTAGGACAGAGTCTGGCTGTCAGGGTACAACCCACACCTCCCTTGACGAACAAACTTTTCCTCCCTGAACCCATCTCTTTCAGCCAACGAAAACTTGGGGAGTGTTATCTTCTAGTCTGTTATATGTATTTTTCACTTCCCAAATATAATACATAAAGATTCCATTGCGATCATTAATATGCCTTTTCAAACTTTACAGCCTCCATGAGATTCTGACACTGTCCCTCAGGGAGTGCCTCCCCCACCTCGGCCCCCCACTCTCAGCTGCTCATCACCAACGGGGCCAAAGCGCCACACTCGTCTTGTCGTCTTGTGTCCTGTTTGGAATCAGACTTAATTTCAGGTCAGGGGTGTTGCAAGGAGCACAGGCTTGTGGGATTTGAGCAGGCAGGGACCTTTAAGGGAGCAGCCTTTAAACACCAAGTCCAAACAGATCTATAACTGACCAGAATCCCCCTGCACTACCCGGGCTGCGACGCAGAGGCATGCACTAGTGAAGAGTATTTCAAGAAAGACAAATCTGCCCGGCCCACGGGGCTCGGTGGTTGAGCTTTGACCTATGAACCAGGAAGTCACCGTTCAATTCTGGTCAGGGCACATGTATGGGTTGCGGGCTCGGTCCCCAGTGAGGGGCGTGCAGGAGGCAGCCAATAGACGATTGCCTCTCATCATTGATGTTTCTCTCTCTCTCTCTCCCTCTAAAATCAATAAAAACATATTAAAAAAAAAAAAAGACAAATCTGAGGTGAGGAGACCTGTGGGGGACACCGTGAGGTCCCCCACAGAAGCTCTGAATCGCTGGCTGCCTAAACGACTATACAGTGGAGGCCAAACTAAAGGATTTCTACATCTCCCACGTATTTTATGTGAGCAGGGGCAACTTTCCCTGAGAAAAGACTGTTGTTGTGCCTCCGAGAAAAGAAAGCTGCACTTCCTGGCCCGGTTCTGGAGCAGCTCAGAGAGACCGTCTCGGGGCCACCCACGTGTGCTGGGAGGGCCGAGACCCAGACGCCTCTGAGCAGGGCCAGGGAGGAGAGCCACCGCAGGCAGCCACCGCCTCTCAAGGAGGAGCCCCTGCTGGCCCTCCACTGACCATACATGTAACGCGGCTCAACGGCAAACACGGGTCAGGCTGCTGGCTAACCTCCCAGAGGAAAGCGCACTCCACAGGGAAGCATCGCCGCAGAAGCCGCTGGGCCCAGATTCCTCCCCCCCCCCCCGCCCCTCCCCGGCTCCAGGGCGGCGTGCCGGCTGCGAGACCCTAGCTTGCCTCGGGTAAGTGTCTCGCTGAGCCATGCTCTAATGGCTCTACCTTTGTGTCTCCTCTGAGCAGCGGAGGCTCTCCCAGGCTGGACGCTGACAGATGTAACGCCATAACGCACTACATTACCCTGGGGTGCCGGAGAGGCGGTCCAAATCCATGTGATTAGTGCCAATGAGCTAATACAAAACGTCCCTAGTGACGGCAGCTCTTCCTCCCTGTGCGGTCTCCTGAGAACAGCGACCTCAGCCTTGGGAGAGCATCGAGCCACACCGAGGGGCAGGGAGAGGGTGCCTCCCCCCTCCCCCCGCCCCCCCCTCCGGAAAAGCCTTAATGTGAAGCCCCCCAAACCAAGATGCCTCGAGGCCTCCACGGCTCAGGCACAGCCGAGGGCTTCAGAGCAACTCACCTTTGCTGGCTGTGAGGGTCGTTCTGCACCAGCGGGAGGATGGCCTCCAGCACCTTGCTGGCCGACCCGGGGAGCATCTCCAGCACCTTCTTGTCAATGGCCATTTTGTCCACAATGGTCTTAAAGTAGCGCAAGGCACTGACAACCTCCTTCTCCTTCTCTTCCGGCCAGCTCAGGTTCTGAAAGGAAATGTTAAGCATAAGGAAGGAGGAGAGAGATTAAAGGGAGCTATTTAATAAAAAGTAAAATAAAATTTCCTGTAAGCTATCTTGAGATTGAGGCAAACAGAAAAAGGCTTCTTGCTGCAGCAGCCAAGCCCATTAGCGTCCTAAGCACTGCGATCAGGACACAGAGGCTAGACGTGAGGAAAGAAGAGGAAGCTGGGACCAAGAGGGCTGTGTACACTCCTGAACCCCTTCCCAGAAGAGACTGCTGGCCTGAGGTCTCCTCTGCCACCTGAGCCAGCATCACTGACCTCATGAAGTGCAGCAAGGACTAACTGGCTGACGCTCAGGGATCGCAGAGAACGGACAGCCTAGTCCCAGGCACTTATCTACCCAGCAAATCTAATCGCGACACCCAGGCCTTTCAAGGTCCTGGGTTGTGTAAGGCTGGTTGGAGGCATTGTGCTCACATCACACCCATTCTCCCAGAACGCCTCACTAGATTCCTACATTCAACCCAGAGACGCAGCCCCAAAGAAGTGGCGGGCTCTCCGAAGGCCTGGAGACCCGGGGTCAGAAGGAATGGAGCTCGTGGTGAAAATGTGAAAAAGCGGGAGCACAGAGACATGACCCCATCGCTGCTGGGGAAAATAGGACGAGAAAACAGCCCTGCACCTCCCCCTGGACTGCGGGGTGCGCGCACACCCCTGTGATTCCTTTCTCTGACCAGCCCTAACGTCGGTGATTCTGGGCCCAGCCGCCCGGCAGGGGAAGGAAAATCAAGGGTGACCTACAAAACAGACAAACCCCCAAACGGATCATCTACTCAAGTAGAACTGATGACACGTCAATGCAAATGCAGAGCGGCCTGTAGGAGGAGACACACCTGTGGCCTCGCTGAGCTCCGGGGAAGACAGAAAGAAAAGCAACTGTGGGCGAGAGGGTTAATTTCTAGAAAAAGTTGATTTCTACAATAATCTGTAAACATGTAATTAAATAATATATACTAAAAAGTGATTATGACTCTGACTGCCTCTTTTCCTCTAAAATGATGGAGAATGTCATTTCAAATAAAAAAAAATTCAATAGTGGAGGCACTTATTTATTTAATGGGAATATCAACAGAAAAACACAAATGGGATCAAGAAGTAAATAGTGCCTTTAGTCAGACGGTTTTCAAAGGTCTGATTTCACGCCTCTCAGTGGGTACTTCCCCAGGCATTCTGTGGACACAAAGACAGATTCTCCCTGGGGCGAGGGGAGCACCCGAGTCCCATCACCTAGCCTCTCTGCCCTCTCTCCATGCCTTTTACTACCAACATGCCTGCTTAGGTACTGCCTCTTCCGGAGGCCGGGCACTGGCTTCCCTACCTCAGGACCAGAGCTTCCTGCCTCACCGCTCCCACTGGGATGGAAGGAACCCGAGTGTGAGGGATCAAGGAGCCCGGAGACACCCAGTGTGCCTGGGATCATGGCTGGCCGGCCTCGCTAGCCTGGCCACAGCATGGCCATCTCAGAGCAGGCTGGGGAGGAGCCAGCCACAATGAAATGTGCGGAGGAGGCAGAAGACACTGCAAGAGGTTTGCTGGGGAGAATGGGCTGACATGCAGCCAGGAGCCATCCAAAAGGGGCGAGGCGCTCCAGAGCAAAAAGAACTTTCCCGTCCTTTGTAGGGAGATCAAATGAGCTCCAAAGAGCCAGCACCCTGGGCTCCTAATGAAGGAGTGACAACTTAGCAGACTCAGGTTTCCTCCATTAACTCCCCGGCAAACTCCACTCCCAGATGGAAGGCCTCTGAGCACTGCGTTGCCCTAGCCCTGCAGCTGTCAACTGGCTTCTGGCAAAAAGCAGTCAGTCAGGGAGTGCCAATGGGACTCTAGGTGACACTCCTGCCAGCAGGACCCTGAGGCGTGGCTTTGCTGGAGCTGCCCTGCCCAGAGCCTCTGCAGTCCCTGCTATGGGGGATGGGCACCACCACTGCCCAACAAGCCTGGCACCTACAGGAGGGCAGCGGTGCTGCGCAGGGCCTAGATGCGAAGCCACCAGCGGGCTCCAGGCTCCTGCCCGCACAAGGGGAAGAATTCCTGCCCAGGGGATCAAACGAGGTTGGTGTGGGGACCAAATGAGAACACAGATGCAAGATATTTCATAACATTTAAGGGAAAAACAAATCTGATGGGGGAAAACTTGGGCCAGACTCCCAACTTTCTGTATATTAGGAATAATTAAAAGCGCTCGCACATGGTTATGGTGAGAAGTAAACAAGACAGCACGTGAAATCACCCAGGACAGAGGCGTCAGGCAGCTGCAGACGAGTCTGAGAGTATGTATCGACCCCGAGCTGCAACTTGCCATGTATTTAAACAGGAAAGCCATGCATATAAACTGCAACAACAAGGCACTGTATATGGAAATAGTCCCTAAGCACTGAGAGCTAATAAGTAATAAATAATTAATGTAGTAAATGACAGGCTTGTTGGAAGATTTCTCTGGCAGCCTTCCAAGCTCACACATCCAGTGGCAGCTTCCCCAACACATCCAGTCCTGTCTTACACACACATTCGCACTGGCTCATGCAGGTGACCTGGGGCAGAGCACAGCAGTAACTCAGCCCTTCTTAAGGGCGGCCATCAAAAGCTGGGCAACATTCTTCCTTCAGGAAAGATCACAGCTCATCTCCCCGCTACCGAACAGGGTTTCCCGGCCGCGCTCCAGGGGCATCCTGAGCTCCAGTGGGTGATCTTTGTCTGGGAGCGGGGGGCTGCGCACTGTGGGGTGTTTATCAGCATCCCAGGCCTCTTCCCACCAGATCCTGTAGCTCCTGCTTCGCTTTCCTAGTTGTGACAACCAAACACGTCTCCAAACATTGCCCAATGTCCCCTGGAGTTTACAGGAAGCCCCGCTAAGTAAAGGGCGCTTTAGCGTGCCATCTCCTCCCCCTCCCTCCCCTTCCCGCTCCTCCGTGACCTCTCTTGGAATAAGGAAGAAAGGAGAGGGAATTCCAAGAACTGAGGGACTAAAACAGTGTCTTATCGGAGCTCAGTGGGAGAACACAGTTGTGAGTAAATCGTTCTGCTGGACCAGGGTTAGACCACACTGACACTCTGCCTAGATTTCAGAAGAAACTCTGAGGCTGGAAGAGGCTGCTAAACAGAGCGTCAGAAGTAACTGCGGTGCAGACCAAATCTACTTCTTACTCTTCTTCAATCTGGAGTTTGGGTCAATCTGGCAAACACTCAACATATCACGCTTTCTCTTCAGCCTCTTGCTGTTAACAGACGGGGCAGGAAAAAGGGTTCTTCAACAAAAGACTTAGATTTAAGTCCTTTATTTCTTCCTCTTTTAACTAGGATTTTAAGGTATTTTGCTGAACATCAAAACAAAAATAGGTGCACTGGCAAGTTCAAGAATGACGTGTTTATATGGCAGGGCGGGGCTTTGCCAGTGGCGCTGCACTGGCGATGGCTGTGACCACAGCTCTATAAACGAGGCTCTGGGTAATCTCGGAGGATTAGGGACCTATTTGTCCACAAGGCTCGTTTTTAGTTCGCATTGCTAAACTTAAATTGTTTTATGTTTAGTTATGTGTGGGTGAACATTTAGATTTGGGAGATATTAAAAAATAAACTCTGGCTTCCATAAACAGGAAATGTGGCACCGCGAGTTTCGTGATGTCAGACAACCTTGTTCAAATCTCAGCTTCACCACCCTCCCTGGGCGCCTCCTGCCAAACAGGTAATATCGCTACAGCCTCAGTTTCCTTTTCTGCAAAGTGAGTCTCCACCTCCCCGGTTGTTATGAGGGTTAAGCGAGAGAACGAGCAGGAAGCACTCTGCATGGGGCTAAGGAAAGGCTGACAAATGTCTGGCCCAAAGCGGCCCTGGCTCTGAGCCCTTGGGTCTGTGGGTACCTCACCAGTCTGACGGCACATACACCTAAGACACCTTAGCAACCCAAGGAAGGAACAGCTGAGCTCGACAGGTAGATCACTCACTTCCTCCGGAACCCGCCGGGCCCAAGCAGCACCCCCAAACCAACCCCACAGAGGCTCCCCGAGCTATCGCCATGGAAGTCCGCACTCTCTCCAAAGACCAGGGGGCTTGGATAAACTTACTTTTACCCAAGCTCCCTTGGACTGTTTTCTGAACAATGAGGCCCACAGTTGCCACCCAACTGCACACAGTGATACTGCAATAGTTGTTTCCATCCCCAAGACCACGGGCCAGGATTCTGCAGTAGAAGGCAAGGCAAACCCAATGTTCTTAACATCGCACTGACCTTCTGCCTTTGAGACCTGGAAGCCACAGCACTGGTGGACATAAATCCTACTGCCTGCTGCTCCAGATCCAAGGGGAGAGGGTAGCCCTCTGGCAGAAATCTGTCTGTTGCCTCCTGGAAGAGAGGAAACCTGGATTCCTACAGAGCTTGAAATGGCCGTTTTAGGCTGAGGAAGGGGTTGTGAGATCAACAGCTACGTCAACACATCCGCTGTCTGCCCTGCTGAGGTGACTAGTGCCTTTGGACACCTTTGATTTCAAGGATTTTACATGTCTCAGAGCATGGATGTCTTGGACATCACCAACGTCCCCCAGGGTGCCCACGCCTGGGACTCTCTAGGGCAGTGAGGCAGCACCTTGGATGTGAACATGATGTGCTGAGCTGTTTTCAGTGCCCAGAGGATGGCACACTTGGCAAAGGAGAACTGTTCTAGCCAGCTGAGCTTGACTCTCATTAACATGAGAAACACTCACCACCCTACAGGCTCACATGTCACAAGAACACGGGCGGCCCCGCCTGCACATGGAATACTACGGAGCGGGTGTCTGTACTGAGAGCTCAATCCCCAGGGAACGGATGTGCAGGAAGCACGCACTCACTGCTCGAAGCAGGAGCGGTGCCGAGAGGCAGCTTACTTTGCTCACAGGCTTCTCCCGAGTCTTCACAGACACGTCAGCCGGCTTTCCCTTCTTGGACGGCGTTCTCTTGATCTTGGGCGAGTGGAATTTGTCCATCAGCTTCATGGTGAAGGAGGAGAGATGAGAACGCTGGGAGTCTGGAAACAAAGAGGGTGCCGACTGTTAGAGGCAGGTGGGAACTTCACGCACCTTTAGTGGACATGAGCATCGTCTCAACGCGAACCTTTCCCCAGCAGTTCAGAGCTACACAGGAGAGGAAATAGGGACTCCTTAAGACATTTCTGATAACATGTTTCGAGATTTGCAATTTCCGTCTCTAGGGTAGGATGTTTAGATCTGTGGGAGTCAAAGTCAGTCGAAATAAGTAGGGAAAAAGAATTGGCAAATATTCCCAAGTGTCCTTATGGAGTCTGTACGATGATCTAACCAAAGTCCAAGCGAGCTGGCCAAGGAGAATGAACACCAAATCAGACTCACAAAAATACAGGATGCGTGAACTAGAGAGAAAGGACTTTCGAATCAACCTCTCTCCTCACCCTTTGGTTCAGGAGCTGCAACAAGTGACAGGGACAAGGCCTCAGAGTTGGCAGTGAGGCTGAAATAGAAGTTAGGTGTTCACAACCCTCTGGGACATAGTGAAAGCCTGGGGGGGTTCTTCCTGAGAGCAGGAACAAGACTGGGGTGTCCGTCCTTCCCACTCCTATTGGCTGTTGTACTCCACTATCCCAGTAAAAGCCACCCAGATTGGGGAGGAAGATATAAGACTATCTCTATTTGTAGATGATGTGATCTTGTATGTGGAAGATCCCAAGCAAGCCACTAAAAAATGATTAGTACTAAGATATAAATTCAGTAAGGTCATGGGATATAAGATCAATATACAAAAATCAAATTCATTTCTATACAGTAGCAATGAATATTCCAAAATGAAATTTTAAAAAGCTTCCACTTACAATATCATCAAAAAGAATGAAATACTTAGGCATAAATTTAACATAACACAAGACTTATACACTGAAAACTATTAAACATTGTTGAAAAACATTAGAGACAATCTAAATAAAAGGAAAGACAGCCCATGTTCATAAACCAAAATACTTAATATGGTTAAAATGCCAAACACCACAAATTAACCTACAGATTCAATGTAATCCTTATTAGAAATCCAGCTGGCTATTTTTTGGGGGGAGGGGAAGATGGAGGACAGAAATTGACAATCTAATCCTAATTTTAATATAGAAACACAGGGGTCTCAGAACAGTCAAAACAATCTGGGAAAAGAAGAATAAAGTTAGAGGATTCACACTTCCTGATATTAATACTTACTACTACGAAGTTAGAGAAATGAAGACAGCATGGTACTTTCATGAGCAGAGGCATATAGAACATCAGAAAGAATTGAGAATGCAGAAATAATCTCATGTGTCTATGGCCAATTGATTATTTATAAGGATGTCAACAACACACAATAAGGGAATTAATATTCTTTTAACAAATGGTGGTAGGACAACTGGATATTCACATACAAAAGAATGAATTTGGGCCCTTCATACCGTACACAAAAGTGAACTCAAAATTAGAACTAAAGACTAAATTAAGATTTAAAACTATAAACTCTTAGAAGAAAACAGGGATTCAAAGGAAGTACACTGAGGTGGTGTGATTTCTCCAGTTCCCCTCTGCCCTGTTCTTCCCTCCCCCCGCCAAGCAGGGTGGGGCCTCTATGCAGTTTATACCACTTCCTTCTTTACACTTCAAAATGAGGTGACTGGTCTAATCTCCCATGCACTGGTTAAAGGGGTCAGCTTTGTAGGTAGGCACACTGTTTGGATTAAAATAGTTCAAAGTCACTTCTCTAAATCGGAAGTTTCCGCGTCTGGAAAACGGTACTGATAACACTGATCTTGAGATGGCTAATGTGATGCAGATTGAAGAGAGGCTACCAGTAGACACGGCCAGGCACCTGCTCAGTGCAGGGAGCTAACCTAACTACACGGATTGGGTGAGTAGCAAGACTGATGGAGCTCTGAGCAAGGATTCACCAACTGCCTGCAGAAGTTGCATCAGGCTATGCTACCGTCCGAGGAATGGAGGGTCTTACAATGCCGTCCTCTTCCGCCAGCACTGACCAGAGGTCTCATCGGCCTCCACCTGTTCATCCGTTTCCCTCCCTGTCCCTCTCCCCACACTGTGCCCATTGCACTCCTCCTGATGCTGGTCTCAGCAGCCTGAAGTCATAGCACATCCTTCTCTAGGTAGGTTCCAAGTCAGATGGGAGGTTAGAGCAATGCACTAACCTGTGACTTCCACCCTGGCAAGTAAGACTGAAAGCAGGGCAGAACAACAACACCCACAAATGGGGAAGTCTAGGCAGGATGCACAGTTTCTCTGGTGTGCTTTGGTGTCAAAGGTCTTCAGAGACATGGGCTGGGTGAGCCAACTCGCAAGGCATGGGGCTGAGGTGCTGGCCAGATTCACATCTGTGCCATCATAACTGCCATCACAACCAAGGGCGAACTTGGGTAGGCAAGCAAGGCACGGAGGGCCCAAAAATACCTCTCAGGTTCCACCTGCACCTGCAGGGCTGGTCCTGATCACCACTGAGGACCAACTAAGGGCATCTCCCCCCGAGAGCAAACTGAACCCAGAGACAGCACTCCCTCTGCTCTGCCAGCTGCAGCCCCAAGTTCTGTCTTAGGAACAGCTGAGACTCAACATTAGCATATAAATAAAATGCTGGATCTACCAACAAATCTCTCCTCGGAGTACGTAACAGCCCCAAACAGCCAGCTGTAGCACATGACATGACATGACATGACATGACACCCCAAGTGGAGAAAGCAGGTTCCCGGTAATGACACCAACCTCCACAGCTCTGGAAATCAAGGACAGCACGAACCGTGGCAGATTCTAACTTGGAGGCTGCTTGTCACCTTTTTCTTGAAATAATGGGTTAGCAACACAGGTTACAGGTGACCTTGCAAGGTCATTCAAGCGGTGCCTCTGAGAGCTCATAAAGCACAATGACCAGGGAAAGCAGATGAAGAAAGCACCGGGGGTAGCTCTCTCAGGATTATCTTGCACACACAGCCACACACACACACACACACACACACACACACACACACACACAGCCTGCCCCTCCTCTCACGGCCCTCATGCACATCAGTCATGTGGGGCAGGGCTGCAGTGTGCCAGGTAAGCCTCACGAACCACTCTCATATTATCCCACTACTTCCTTAGGAAGTTACACTGCAGGTTCTGTGTCTGCGTGTCTTTGGAGATACGTTAGTACTGAAATGAAAACAAAATTTTGGAAGTTTTCATACATACATATGCAAATGCTCCTTGACTCAGGACTGGGTTACATCCCAATAAACCCAACAACAGGCACCCAGGGTTCTGACTTCTGAGCTTATCCCTTACTTTTTGTGACAGTTTCTCTCTAAGCTCAGCTTCCTGTGTAAGCCTGTGAACTTCGCATACATGGCAGCAGACTGTAAATTTTCTTATGTTCCCGTGTTTCATTCTACAGCACGTCTGACAACTGCCCTGTGGAAGCAGAGGTACGTGCTTTCGTCCGTGGTGCTGTGGTGCGCCCTGTGTCCCATAGACCCGCTTTACTGATCCGCTCTCCTGCCAGCGGGCAAGTGTTTCCAACTTTTAGCAAGGTGCCAGTGCCTCCACACCCACCAACACATGGCACTGCCAGATTCGCACACTTCTCTATGGCCACGCTAACCAAGCAAACGGAAGCCCCTTCACAGGGAAATGCCACAAGCCGGCGTCTCATTGTGACCTGTCGGGCCTGGGAGAGCGACGTGAAAGGTCACTGATAGAACTTAAGAAAACGAACTCCGGACTCAGGAAGCCCGGGGTCATTCACACCTCCGATGGTCCTGAGCTCCCAATGACTAACCGTCAGCCGCTCATTTCTTCCAGAGAAAATGGCTGTGAGATCTTCATTGCCAGGGGCGACCATCCCAGGCCTTCAGATGAATGTCCTCCTCTACCAGAGAGGAGAATGGCTGGAGGTGGGGAGATATTAGCTCACAGAATCAGGTCTCAACCAAAACCACACCAAAGCTAACCAAGTCCGCCCCAAGTAGCTTGCCAGGTGTCAGGGTTTCATTCGTATGTTTTCAGCTTGCCCCTTGGCCAGGCTTCACAACCATCCTGCCCACGGCTGACAAATGTGCACATCAACTGGCCTTTCAGATGTCGCTTGTGGCAGCAGCTGGGATCCCAACTTAGCAGCGGTTTCTGTCGGGGCTCAATTTCACCCTGGATGGGGGCGGGGGTCAGGGTCACGGTGGACAACACTCTGTGGCAGTGCCCATCTTGTTAAACGCCACACTGTCATTCCTCGTCTCCCACTCATCCCGGGCGCAGAGGTGCGGCAAAGCTGGCAAGGACTCCAGCTCTCCCACTATCCTAACCCATACCCACTCTCTCAAACGCATAAAAGGACAACCGGAGCGCAGAAGCGACCTGAAGACGTTAGAAAGGACCTTTTGAAACATAAGGATTTCATATTTTCACTTACCTAGAATTTGCAGACTCATGTAAAGACAGAAACGAGAGGAGGGCTGAATGGGTCATGGGCGTGGCAGGTGGCACGCGGGCAGTCTGTGTTCTAACCTGAGCTCAGCCACACACTTGGTGGACACACGTTCTGCCTTTCTGAGCCACAGGTCCCTCATCCACAGAACAAGGTAACCTCAGGACCCAGGAGGACTCGTGGTGGTCCTGTATGTGAAGCACTCAGCCAAGGACCTGATGTAGCAAGTGCTCAATAAATAGCAGCCACTGCTGGTATCTGATGACACCGCCAGGCTTCTGCCAACACTTAATAAGGCAAAAGCTAAAAATACTCCCGGCCGAGAAGGAAAGCAACCTGATGTTTCATTTCCCCCAACAACTTCCATATTAAAAAGCCGGTCTTACTCAACATGGAGCCGCTCATGTTGACACAGAAGGAAAATAGCTGGAGTTTTGCAACACCAAAGGCTCTTCCTCCTGACCTGAAAACCTGTTCCCGTTATCCGTTTGCTCAGGAAGTCTCCTGAGAACTACGCCACCGCTGTGGGTGCTGATGGGAATACGAAGTGTATTTCCCCCCCTTTCAGCAACAAAT